CTTCCAAGTGGAGAGCCCGCGACACATCCCGTGACCAACTCGCGACCAACCCGCGACCCAAACCACGTTCAGGGTACAAACCACATTTTTCGGCGCCTGCGGCGGGCATATTTTGCATTCGTTTCAGGTGGAGAGCCCGCGGCCCACCCGCGACCACGTTCAGGGTACAAACCACATTTTCGGCGCCTGCGGCGGGCATCCTTTGCATTCGTTCCCTGTGGAGAACCCGCGGCCCAACCGCGACCCAAACCTCGTTCCGTGTACGAACCATTTTTTTTGGCGCTTGCGGCGGGCTGCTTTTGCATTCCTTCCAGGTGGAGGTGGAGAGCCCGCGACCCACCCGCGACCTAAACCACGTTCACTGAACAAACCAATGCCGCACAAGCGCGGCGGCGGATTCTTGCATGCCGTCTGAGCCCGCAAGGACCTCTTCACGCCCCGCACATCCACGCCAGCCCGTCCAGCAACTTTGCCCTGGCGAGTTGCCTTGATCAGAGAAGGCGGGGAGCATAAAGTGGAAAAAAGGATTGCGTTGCAGTTATCTTGGGAAAGGAGGGGGAGGCAGGATGAGTAAACAGGGGACGAGGAGAACGTGGAAGAAGAGAGGATGTAAGGAGAACGTGGAGAAAGAAAAGGAGGAGGAGCAGGAGGACGAGGGGGAGGAGGGGGAGGAGGGGGAGGAGGAGGACGAGGAGGGGGAGGATGGGGAGGATGATGATGATGGACGACAATGGGAGGACGATGATGGAGGCCGATGAGGGGGAGGACGACAATGGGAGGACCATGATAAAAAGACGAGGGGGGGAGAGGCAGGACGAGGAAGAAGAGGAGGAGGAGGAGGAGGACGAGGTGGAGGAGGAGGATGACGATGACGATGAGGACGAGGAAGAGGAGGAGGAGAAGGAGGAGGAAGAGGAGGAGAAGGAGGAGGAGGAGGAGGTGGAGGAGAGCGCCATCGACAAGGAAGGAGGGGGCCACGAGGTCCGCCGGCTCGACGACGCCCGCGTCGCCCGCGCCCGCCCCCTCACTCTTATCCGCAATTGCGGGGTGCTACGTATATGTATATCTCTCTCTCTCCCTTTCTTGTTCTCTCTCTCTCTCATTGTTTTGTTTCTCTCTCTCTCTCTTCTTGTTTGTCTCTCTCTCTCTCTCTCTCTCTCTCTCTCTCTATGTGCATATATATATATATACACATGCACATACATTTATATATATATATATGTATGTATATATATATGTATATATATATATATATGTGGTAGCACCCCCCCACATGATCATACATATTCGTCTTTACCGCGGCCGCCGATCGATATCTTCTTTCTCCGTTCCCTTCTCCTGTCTCTTCGTTTCTCTCCTCCTCCTCCTCCTCTTCCTCCTCCTCCTCCTCCTCCCCGTGCTATTCCTTCTCGGAATCATCGAAATCGTCAGAAACTAAAGAAAACCTGAAAAAAAAACACAAACTACAAAAAAAACTATGATTTCGGGAGAACTTCTGGGGAGGGGGCCGGCCAAAGTTCTCCAGAAATCATAGTTTTTTTGTTTTTTTTGGTTTTCTGAAGGGTTTTCGCTGGCGCTCAGCCTCCACAGAAGGATTCCTATTGAAATCCTCTGCGAAAGGAGATTCCCATTGAGATCCTCTACGGCTCCTCACCCTCCTCCTTCTGCAACTCACCCTCCTCATCATGCTCGCTTCGAGGCGATACTCACAAATCTAGTTGCGAACGCAGCTTCACAACTAGTTTTGCGAGGAACCTCCCGCTACAAGACACTACTCGCAAAACTAATTGTGAACGGCGCTCCACAACTAGTTTTGTGAGTAATGACTTCCTCCTCGTCATCGTCATGCTGCTCACTCTCCTCTTCTTCCTTCTCCTGCTCCTCCTGCTCCTCGTCATTCTGCCCCCTCGTCTCCGCTTCGAGGCGACACGCACAAATCTAGTTGTGAACGCAACTTCACAACTAATTCTGCGAGGAACCTCCCGCTACGAGACACAACTCGCAAAACTAATTGTGAACGACGCTCCACAACTAGTTTTGTGAGTAATGAGTTCGGCCTCGTCGTCGTCATGCTGCTCACCCTCCTCTTCTTCCTTCTCCTGCTCCTCCTGCTCCTCTGCCCTCCTGCTCCTCCTAGTTGTGCAGCTGCGTTCACAACTAGATTTGTGAGTATCGCCTTGAAGCGGAGAGAAGGGGGCACGATGACGAGGAGCAGGAGGAGGAGCAGGAGGAGGAAGAAGAAGAGGGTGAGGAGCATGACGATGACGAGGAGGAACTCATTACTCACAAAACTAGTTGTGGAACGCCGTTCACAACTAGTTTTGCGAGTAGTGTCTTGTAGCTGGAGGTTCCTCGCACAACTAGTTGTGCAGCTGAGTTCACAACTAGAGCTGTGAGTATCGCCTCGAAGCGGAGAGGAGGGGGCACAATGACGAGGAGCAGGAGGAGCAGGAGGAAGAAAAAGAGAAGGGCGAGGGGCATGACGATGCCCTCCTGCTCCTCCTGCTCCTCGTCAGCAGAACTAGTTGTCAACGGCGTTCCACAACTAGTTTTGTGAGTAATGAGTTCCTCCTCATCATCGTCATGCTCCGCACTCTCCTCTTCTTCCTCCTCCTGCTCCTCCTGCTCTTCTGCCCTCCTGCTCCTCCTGCTCGTCATTCTGCCCCCCCCCCTCTGCTCACCTTCCTCTTCTTCCTTCTCCTGCTCCTGCTCCTCCTGCTCCTCGTCATTGTGCCCCCCTTCTCTCCGCTTTGAAGCGATACTCACAAATCTAGTTGTGAACGCAAATGCACAAGTACTCTTGCGAGGAACCTCCCGCTACGAATCACTACTCGCAGAACTAAGTGTCAACGGCGCTCCACAACTAGTTTTGTGAGTAATGAGTTCCTCCTCGTCATCGTCATGCTGCTCACCCTCCTCTTCTTCCTTCCCCTGCTCCTCCTGCTCCTCCTGCTCCTCGTCCTTGTGCCCCCTTCTCTCCGTTTCGAGGCGATACTCACAAATCTAGTTGTGAACGCAGCTGCACAAATAGTCTTGCGAGGAACCTCCCGCTACAAGACACTACTCGCAAAACTAATTGCGAACGACGCTCCACAGCTAGTTTTGTAAGTAATGAAGTCCTCCTCGTCATCGTCGTGCTGCTCACCCTCCTCTTCTTCCTTCTCCTGATCCTCCTGCTCCTCGTCATTGTGCCCCCTCCTCTCCGCTTCGAGGCAATACTCACAACTCTAGCTGTGAACTCAGCTGCACAACTAGTTTTGCGAGGAACCTCCCGCTACAAGACACTACTCGCAAAACTAGTTGTGAACGGCGTTCAACAACTAGTTTTGTGAGTAATGAGTTCCTCCTCGTCATCGTCATGCTCCTCACCCTCCTCTTCTTCCTCCTCCTGCTCTTGCTCCTCCTGCTCCTCGTCATTGTGCCCCCTTCTCTCCGCTTCGAGGCGATACTCACAAATCTAGTTGTGAACGCAACTGCACAACTACATTTGCGAGGAACCTCCCGCTACAACACAATTCGCCATATAATGATTCCTATTGAAATTATCAACAGAAGGATTCGCGTTGAAACCCTTCACAGAAGGAGACTTAGGTGGATGAGAAGGAAGAGAAGGAGGAATATGAGGCGGATGAGGAGGATCAGGAGGAGGAGGAGGGAGAGGGAGAAGAACCTCTATAAAACGATTCTTAATGATCAACTGCAACGCAGCCGATTGTATTGTAATGCGTTGCCAACGATTGAAGCCGCAAGCGCTTGGAATGCAATCGACTGGGTTGCGTCTGACAACGTAGCAACACATAATCAAGAAGAGCAGGAGGAGGAAGGGGGATGAACGACTGGAGGGATCAAGGGAGCATGTGTATGATCATGTGGGGGGGGCGTGGACCCCAACGAGTCATTGATTGTAATTTGCGCGCTGCAGCCTACGTGGTTCAATCGACGTGGTGCAATCATCAATCTGGTGCAAGCCATGTGGTGCAATCGATGTGGCGCAACATCACGCAAATAAATGCAAAGCGATGCAAAACAATGCAAGGCAATTCAACGCACAACCACATACTGCAAATCAGCGCGAAGCAACGGAAAGCAAAGGAAAGCAATGAAAGCAACGCTACGCAACGCAATGCAATGCAACTCAAAGCAATGCAAATCAAGCAAATGCGTGCAACGCAATGCAAAGCAAAGCAACGCAATGCAAAGCAACGCACATCAATGGAAAGCAATGCAACAATACGCAATGCAATGCAAAGCAATAAGCAACACCTAGCAACGCACCACAACACAAAGCAAAGCTAGGTCAAGCATCCCAAAGCACCCCAAAACAACGCAAAGCAACGCAAAGCATCGCAGTGCGAAGCACTGCCAAGTAATACAACGCAGCGCAGTACAACACAACGCAGAGCAACGCGAAGTATCGCAAAGCAACGCAAATCAAAGAAATGCGAACCAATGAAAAGCCATGCGCAGCAATGCAAAACATCGCAAGTCAATGCAAAGCAATGCAATACAATGCAAAGCAACGCAAAACACTGCAAAGCGATGCAGAGCAATACTCAACAATGCTAAGCAATGCAAAGCAATGCACCGCAATAAATGCACAGCAATGCCACGCAATGCGAAGCAATGCGAAGCAAGGCAGAGCAATACAAAGCAACGCAAAGCAATGCAAAGCAATGCAAAGCGATGCGAAGCACTGCAAAGCAATGCGAAGCGATGCGAAGCTATTCAAAGTGGGCGGCGGCGAGGCGGCGGGCGGCGACGAGGCGGCCACATGGCGGCCAGAGCGGCCTGCAGGACCAGGCGACGGGCGGCGACAGGCGGCGAAGAGGCGGCGACGGCGGCCACATGGCGGCCAGAGCGGCCCGCAGGCCCAGCTCCTTAGAACATACATAAAACCCCCTAATTGCAAGCACTGTGTGGGAAAGATGTATCTACACACACATATATATACACACATATACATGTATACATACATACTCGGTGTAAACACATACCATATCTGCCGGAGTATATTTCTACTTGTGCTGTTGGTATATCTCTACACCTCTGTACCTCTGAGTTGCGAGTACGGTTGGCGCTACACTGTGAGCACTCTGCACTGGGAGTGCGCCAGGCGCCGACATGAAACGTCCTGAGGCTGACAATTGGCTGGCGCCGAGGTCGGAGCAAAACTCTAGGACTGTGTCCAGCATCGTGGCGGAAGCGTCTCTCCGCGCTGTGAATGCTACTGGCGCTGGGCCGAAAACGCCCCTTCTCTCGAAGCTAGGAGTGTGACCAGCGCCATCGCGAGTGCACCACTGTGTGTGGATCGCGGCCTGCGCTGACGCGAGAGCATCGCAGCCTTGAGAGCCTCCATGGCGAACTGAGAAGGGAGATGTTTATCCTGTGGAGGTGGCCACCCCTGGTATACCGCCCTGAAGATTCCGAGCCAGGACAGGACATGGAGGAGATGATGGGCCCAAGCAGAAGCAACATGATAAATACTGTAGGGCGGTGGCAAGCCTGCTGTTCCTCCCCCGCGGATCCGCAATGACGCCCGCGTGCGGCTGAGCCTGCCTACGGCTCGGCGAATGCGAACATGCAGGTGGTCACGCACGACACGCAGCAGACATAAACGGCCAACAAACAGCAAAAAACTGCGTGCAGAGTCCCAGACATCAACAACTCTTCAGGCACAGCCGTGAAACCAGCCAAGAAGACGTTGACCATCCCGGCCATCATCAACGTAATGACTGTCCTCAAAAAGATCATGTTCCCTCTGACCACGCAGCGGCCCAGCAGCCGGCAGTGGTGGTCGAAGCCCTCCACGCACCTCTGGCAGACGCTGCAGTGGTGCGACCGGGGAGCCCCGGGCTCCTGCGCGGACGCCCGACGCCACACCAGGCAGCGGACGCAGTACGAGCCCCAGCCGTCCGGGCCCTCGCCCGTGACGTTGGACATGCCCCGCAGGCCCTCGCCCGCCCGCAGCAGGCGCTTCACTTCTGCGGGCATGGGCCTGCAGGTGGCCTTCGAGCGCGGCACCACCCCGGAGCGGCCCGCCAGCAGCCGCAGCGTGCAGCACGCCGCGACGATGGAGGCGGCCCGCGTGAGCGGGGCGAGGACGAAGGCGCTCCACCACGACAAAGAAGATCCCTCGTCGGCGTGGGCGACGGCGAAGTCTATCGCGATGTTTCGAAGAAGGAACAACGCCATGAGCATAAACGTTCGGCGCTTCGCGCGGGTTTCTTGGATCTGCGGTGGGCCCACATGGCGGCGCCTCCAGCGCCGCCCCTGGCGCGCTCTGCGCGCCAGGGGAGGTGCCAGCGCAGATCCAAGAAATCCGCGTGGAGCGACGGAAGTGTCTGGTTGTGGCGATCTTTCTTCTTCTAATGTTGTACGCTGCCATCAGGGAGCCCCCGATGCCCAGCCCGCTGGCAGTCTGCACCCAGTAGGCAACTCCCCTGGCGGGCATGTGCCCACGGCCGCTCGGGCGCCCAGAAAGAAGGCCAGAGAGGGTGCCGGGAGCGATCAGACCGACCCGCCCTGGGCCAGACGGTGGTCAACATGCGCAGGATCGCACTATTCGGATCGCTTGCTCTGCCTGAGGGGGTCTGTCTGTTTGCTCCCGGCAAGGCTTTCTTGTAATTACTGCGCGCGGACAGCCCAAAGAGGTAGCCCCGACCAGCCACCATAGTAGCCCAGGGCGGCCGCGGCACTCCGACCCTTGGGCGCGGCGCGCTCTGGGGAGCGCCGCTGGAAGCGCTGGGCGTCGAGACCAGTCCAGCAGCAACAGCGCCCGCAACTGCTTGAGGCAGATCCGTGTTCGCTGTGTGCCGACGAGAGGTCCGGATCCGCGGAAAAAATCGGGCACCAATGAAAACAGGGCGTCGCATCTCTCAGCCTGATCTGTTCCGAGATCGACCGGGGGCTTCCCCGGGCCGGCCGGGACCACCTCCCAGGGGCTGTCTGTGCGGCATGCCCCTTCCCTGCGCCCCCTCCCCCCCCCCCGTCGAACCTCCAATGTCGCCACTCACGTGGGCCCCTGCAGCTCCGCACCCCGTCCCCTAGACAGCCTCCTCTCTGGGCGGCGAGCCTGGGGGGGAGGTGGGAAGGAGAGAAGGGAGGAGGCCTTCTCAGAAGGCTCGGAAGTCCCCCCCGGCCCTCTGGGAAGTCCTCTGAGCCTTCCCCGAAGACAGGACAAGACACTTCTCGGAAGGCGCGAGGGCTTCTGAGAAGTCCCGCCGCCTTCTGAGCAGGCTTTCTCCTTCTCACCTCCTCCCCTCGCTCGCCGCCGGGTCTCTGCGATGCGAGACGTGGCCGCCCGAGGGCCCCAGGGGCCGAAGGCGGCCCCCCCCAAGGGCCGAGGTGGCGAGGCAGCCGCGCCCGTCGTGGCTTCGCCCGCGCCGCCCTTGGACCAGGGCCGCGCTAACGGCGTGCTCGGTCAACGGTGCGGTTGGGAATCTGTTTTTTTTTGTGACACCGAGCTCACGCTGAACAAAAGGTAGGACATCACGGAACACCGTCTCCTACATCTCAAATATGCGAATTTACCCAGCGAGAACGGCACGGCGAGTTGTAGGAAAGCACGAGCCACGCGTTCCTACAAGTTGTCTGGCCACGAGCCATGCCTTCCTACAACTGGTTTTCCTGCACCGCCCCTAGCTAGCACACCGTTAGCGCGGCTGCGGCTGGAGGTCCGGGCCCCAAGCCCTCACGGCCGCACCGAGCGGCCGCGGGCCGAATCGGCGGCAGCTGCTCCAGCGGCAGCTCGTCGTCGTCCCGCGCGCCCTCCGGCCCGAGGCCCCGCGCCGCGCCCCCGCCGTGCATCTCGGGCGCGGGGCGCGGGGCGCCCGCCGTGACCGCCCAGAAGAGGGCCCCGAGCCCTCCAGGAGGGGGGCCCACGCCCGGAGGACCAGGAACGGTGGGGACCTTTGGGTCCTTCCTAGCAGGTGCATCGCACCAAACCGCCGAGCATGATACTCCCCAATGCGAAGACGGGGACCCCAGTGAAGCTACGTCTTCATCGCATTATGAGGGTTTGGGGCTCTTTTCTCGTCAATTGGGGCGCGCTGGCGGGCTGCCTGAGGACGAATCGGCGGCGGGCGCTCGTGCGTGCGTGCCTCGTGCGGGCGCGTCCTGGCGCTTGTGCGCAGGGCGAGCACGCTGCCGCGCAGGCTGGCCGAAGAAGCACACGAGATCCGCCACCGTGCGGTGTGCACGCTGAGCTGAGTAGGGCCAGGGGGTCAGGACTGCAGAACACCCCAGACGGACGTCAAGCGGCGCAACCAACCTATTCGGACAAGCTGACACTGATGCACCACACCCGGCGTCAAGCAAAAACTGCGGACATGAGCATGCGGTTGGACTTTGCATACCTTCGTCGGCTTCATCGGCGAAGCGTTTGACCACCCTGACGTCCCTTTTTTGGTCCTCTGGCCCTCAGCCCAACTCAAACGCTGAGGCGCGGAAGAATGAAAAGGGCTGTCTGGTAGGGTTCCTGCACTCTAATCAGGAGCACCCCCCTACCAGCACTTACCCGCATGCATTGCCCCCCCCCCCTCCCGAAGGCACGATTCCTCGTAAACAAACGGGCCCGCGCTCCCGTCAATAACGATGGATCCGAGTCCCGAGCTTCCAAGACGGCCCATGCAGACAACCCAGGACACCAAGATGGTCCAACATGCCTCGAAGGCTGCCCAAGATAGCCCCAAAAAGCGGCCCAATATGGCTTCAAGACGGCCCACGATGCCTCCAAGAGGGCACCAACAGAGCAACAAGAGGACCTCCAACGGGGCCCGAAGAAGCCAACATCATGTATCGGGTGTGCGCATGGTGTTTGACGTCTACCAGTTTCAGGCTTCCGTCAGCTCAAGATGGCCCACCAAGCCTCCACGATGGTCCCAAGACGGCCCAAGAGGCCCCCACGAGGGTCCAAAGATGGCCCAAGAGATCCCAAAGCATCCAAGACGGCCCAAGAAAGCCTCCCGTGGGACCGATAACGGCCGTGCGTTCGACGGCCCAGGACGGTCCCACGACGGACCGCAGACACCGACCATACGGCCAAGCCCCAAGACGGCCAACGAGAGCCCCAAGACGGCGCAAGAGGACCCAAGACGGTTCAAGAGAGCCCCAAGACAGCCCCAAGACTGCCTCACAGGACACCAAGACAGCCCTATGACTGCCCAAACGAGTTCCATGCGAGCTACTCGGATAGTTAGCATGAGAGGTGTCACACGTGACGGTCCTCCTCCTCCTCCTCCTCCTCCTCATCCTCCTGCTCAGCAGCAGCAGCCACATACTCATTATACGCATCCTCGGCATCGTCGTCATCATAATCACACCCGATATCCTCCACCTCCTCCTCCTCCTCTTCCTCACCAGTCTGATCATGATCATGATCATGATCATCGTTATCCTCCTCAGCATCATCATCATCAGCATCATAATCATCATCAGCAACAGCAGCAAGAACAACAAGAGCAATAGCAACAACACCAGCATCAACATCGTCATCCGTGTCATGATCATGATCATCACCGTCGTCATCAACATCATCACCAACCTAACAGCATCAGCATCATCATCAACAACATCATTGTCAGCCTCATTATCCTGGACATCATTCCTCATCACGGCTCTCCCACCCTTGATCAGTCGCCACCCAAAATTCTGGGCTGGCACGGTTGCGGGACTTGCCGCAAGCAACTGGGTACTCAACCCAGCGGGCCCATCATCAACGGGGACGGGCGGGAGGAGGAGGATGAGGGGGAGTGCGGGGAGGCGGTGGAGGTGGAAATGAAGACGGGGAGAATGAAAGGGCACAGGAGAAGCAGGATGAGGACGGGGAGGGGGAAGAGGATGAATTATTGGAGGAATAGCAATAGGAGCACATATCAAGAACTCATGATGGCTCAACGTCATAGCCGCATCGCCAATGAATCGGCGATGCATTGCCGATGCGCGATGCACCGGCGACGCCGGCGATGCATCTGCGCTGTCGGCGTGGAGAAAATCGGGCTCCACATCGAGCCGAATCGCCGAAGCATCGGTGATGCGGCGCGATCCTCCGACCCTTTCTGCTCGGACCCCACCTGGAAGGCCTCGAGCTATTCAACAAGTGCCAGCGACGAAAGATTGCACGAACCCCCTGAAGATTCCTCGCCGACTTCGGGACCGTCCAAGAGGGGGGCGTCCAAGGGGGGTGGGCATCTGCGCGGCCCAAGGGGGAAGGGGGGGCTGTGGACGCATGGAAATCAGACGAGGCGCCATTAAATCTGTGGAGATATCATGGCCCCCACCATATGCTATGCTCGGTATTGCCCCTCTTGTGGAAATCAGACGAGGCGCCATTAAATCTGTGGAGATATCTGTGGAGAGCCCCTGCAAACGGGGTGTTCGTAAACGGGCTAATAACTAAGGGTGCGTTTTCAAGTGTGCCTTCGAAAAACTGACTTGCCGCACGCGAGTGCGAGGTAATCCCACCGCCCAGAGTTATGATGATGTGTCGACGATTTTGTCGTACCGATTTATCACGCACTAGTGCGAGGTAAATCCCCTGTCGCCCTGTACTCGCTCGTAGAGGCCCTTGAGCTACCACCCCGATTACTCACGCCCCGTTTGCAAGGGCTTGAGGCATGACATCCACACTTCCTGGCCACCACCCCCCCTGCCCGCCCCGACGGGGCCCCCGGAGCTCCCCCGGCGACTTCTGGTCGCAGCCGCAGCCCCGCCAAGGGGCGGCGCACGAGACCCCGCAGGATCGCGGCCACAGCGGCCCGGCGGCGCCCGGGCGGGGCGATGAGGCCGCGGTGCGAGCGTGATTTCCCCTGCTCCTCCTCCTCCTCCTGCTCCTGCTCCTCCTCCTCCTCCTCATGCTTCTCCTCCTCCTCCTCCTCCTCCTCCTCGCCCCTTCCTTTCAAACCCATCTCCATTCCTCTCCCGTGTAAACAACTTTATCCCTGTGGCACCCCGAGGCCAGTTTGTAGGGCGGGCGGGGCGTTTAGCCTGAGACTTCCTCACCATGTAAGACCCTCAAGCTCGAAAAGCGACAACAGCTTCACGGATTGAGGGCGGTTCCTTTTCAAAATGTGGCTCCCGCCATAGCGCCGCGCACATTCGTTTTAAACAATTGGAAGAGTTTCACTGATTGAGGGCGGGTGGTTTTCAAAATGTGGCTCTCGCCTTAGCGCCGCGCATGCTCGTTTTTGTTTTTAATGGCAAGAGCTTCCGGGATCGAGGGCGGCTCCTTTTCAAAATGCGGTTCTCGCCTTAGCGCCGCGCATCATCTTTCTGGGAAGTTGCAAGAGTTTCACGGATTCCAGTGGTCACCGTGCCAGAAATGGTGTTTCGGGAAGAATTCAGGATTATGAGGGTGCAGCAGTTACGTTGATTCGCTGTGTTGACTTCCCAGGAATGGTGTTCTGGCACGGCTCAAGATCGTCAAGACGCAACAATCAGAACGATCCGTGGCGTTGAAATCCAAAGAACATTGTTTTGGCATGCTTCAGGGTCTTTAAAACGGTTGTCTTCCAACGAGGCAGTTCCCTCAGTGGGAATGAACCGTGGCCTGTGAAGAGGGAGCTTGGAGGGAGGGTTTATTCTAACATCGCTGATGACTCTTGGGTTTCCACTGGTCCTCCTCCTCCTGCCTCCTCCTCCTCCTCCTGCCTCCTCCTCCTGCCTCCTCCTCCTCGTCCTCCTCCTCCTGCCTCCTTCTCCTGCTCCTGCTGCTGTTCCTGCTCCTGCTAGCGGCGCTCGCGCCTGCGGGCTCCTCTGCTTCTCTTGGCGCAGCAGGTGGGTGCACCGTCGGACCGTGGCCAAAAGAACACCCTTCAGGAACACGGGGCCCTCCGCCGGCCACAACAAACAGAACATCCAAGGGTATATCCCCTCCCCGGGATGCACAAGCACACCCAACAAATACGAAGAATACGAGAGTACCGTCGGGGCGTTGACCTAAGGAACTCCACATAAGGAAGGAGGCCCCTTGTTTCCATAAGTTGATCTTCGATCTCCTGTCGAAAACACAAGGAAAACCTGAGGCAAGCTGTGAAACAATCAAGGAACACCGAGCCCCTCCCCAACGAAAAGGGTTCCTTCTTCAGCGCCCCGACTGTATACCTCGGTCCGATGGTAAGACTCTGGGGGCTTTTCGGGTGCCAGAAGCTGCGCCACATGCGGCCTCTCGGGCCGCACCGGGCACACCGAGCCAACTTTTGGTACAGGCGCGGCGACCACGGCACGACGACGAGGCTGTCGTCGTGCTCGTCCTCGTCGTCGACCCGGCCAGGAAGCGGGAAGGGGAGCGGAAAGGCGCAGTCAGGGAGGAGCACGGAGCGATAGATAGCAAGAGAGGGAGAGAGGAGACCGGGCGAGCGATAGATAACAAGAGAGGGAACGGGCGAGACACAGAGAGAAGGAACGAGAGAAAGAGAGAAAGGAAGAGGGGAGAGAGCGGGGGAGGGATATAAACAGAGAGAGAGAGAGAGAGGGAGATCGAATGCGAAAAGCAGCCGCGAACGAGATGGAAAGCATGAGTCACCTGGAGTACTCCACGTGCGATCTCACAGCTCATCTGCGTCGTCGTCTTCCTCATCTTCACTGTCAACATCGCACACATCTGCCATGCGCTTCCCGCAGAGCAGATCGGTGAAGTCGACATCCCTCCCGTCGCGCTTCGCAAAGACCTTGAGGAGGGCATCCTTGAACTCCACCTCCACCAGGTGCCGGCATGCGGCCAGCACGGGCGGCTTCACCTCGTCGCCCATCTGAACGAGGTTGGTCACTTTGCCGCCCCTGCTGGATTCGGCGAAATCCACGTAGACCTGGCCCTGACCGTCCAGGTCCACCACCGCCATCGCCTTGGGGAAGCCGTCCCCGTCCGCGCAGACACGAGGCAGGAGCTCCTCAAAGGTGGCCCGCTGCCTCTTCGCCGCCCACTTGCGGCGGATCCTGCGACCCAGCTTGGCCTGGAAGTTGGACGCGGTCAGCCTGCATGCCGAGCAGCACAGCGACCTGGAGCCGAGCTTCCTGAGGGGATGGCTGCCCGTCGGGTCCAGGGCCGCCTCGGCGTCATTGGCCGCC